CCTGGGGCCAGGGGGCTGGGGCTGGGCACCTTACCTCCCACTGCCTCCAGCAGGCCCTGCTCCCCGGGGCTCCTGCACCGCTCCAGGGCTGGCGGGCTCAGGAAGTATTCGGCTCTTTCAGGGCCCAGAAGGCTGCGGGGAAGGAAGCAGGTCACAGCACGCAGCCCAGCACCTTGCCTGGCCCACCCCCTTCGTCCTGCCTGCCCCCACCCAGGATGGGTATGTGCCACCCCCCGCCCAGGCCCAGGATCCACCCAGTTTGCCATGGCCCACCCTATTCAGGACCTAACCCACCCGGAATCCACCCAGGATCTGGCCCACCCCACTCAGGCTCCAGCCCACCACGTCCCTGCCCGGCTGGTGCCCACGAGTGCCCAAGCAGCCATGGTGCCGGCCCTGCCAGGGCACCTGGCATCTCCTCTGGGGCCGCACTGGGCTGGTTGTTCCATGGGGTGAGCCCAGCCCACTCTGCCAACGCCTGCAGGGCTCCCCTGGGGAGGGGCTCCCCTCCTTCGCTCACCTGTACAGGTACTGCCGATAGTCCGGCGGGGGGCTGGCCAGGGGCTCCTCCTCGATCCCCTGCAGCCTCTGGCTCTTGCTCCCCTTGCAGGGGGCTTGGCTGCTGGGTGCTGCCTCCATGGGGCCGGACACCTGGTGCCCCCGTGTCACGGAGTCCCCGGGCGATGCTCTGGAACTGCTCCCCACGAAGCGAGGCAGGACTCTGGGGGAGTCTCCTCTCTGGGAGCAGCCTGTCTGCAGGACACACAGCTCACCCGGCTTCCACCTTCCTGGGTCTGACCTCGGAGCATTCACCCTCCTCTGCCCCTCCGTGCGCTTCCCACAGCGAGTCCACTCATGCGGGGCTCCTGGGGAAGCCAGAGGGTCCTGCCCCCCAACTCCGCAGACAGACGTGACTCTCCGCCAGCCAGTAAAACAGAGGTTTATTAGATGACAGGAACATGGTCTAAAACAGAGCTTGTAGGTGCAGAGAACAGGACCCCTCAGCTGGGTCCATTTTGGGGGGCAGTGAGCCAGACAACCACGTCTGCCCTTCACTCCATGTCCCGGCCAGCCCCAAAGTGAAACTCCCTCCAGCCCCTCCTCCTCTGGGCTTTGTCCCTTTCCCAGGCCAGGAGGTCACCGGATTCCTTTGTTCTCCAACCCTTTAGCTCTCACCTCGCAGGGGGGAAGGGCCCAGGCCATCAGGTGCCAGGAAACAGGGTGTTGGCCATTCTCTGTGTCCAGACCCCTGCACACACCTGCCCTCTAGGGCTCTGCAATGATAATACACCCCCATCCCACCACCTAGATACTTAAGAACTGCCTAGGGGAAACTGAGGCACCCCCACACTATTCAGAGGAAACATTAAGAACAGCCCCACTTTGTCACATCCCACCACTGGGACTCCACTAGAACAGAGGGGGAGGGGCGAGGAGCAGAGGAGACCCCCGGATGGGGTATGACGAAGTGGAACTGTTCTTAATGTTTCCTCTGAATAGTGTGGGGGTGCCTCAGTTTCCCCTAGGCAGTTCTTAAGTATCTTGGGGGTGGAGTAAGGGTGTATGATCATTGCAGAGCCCTAGAGGGCAGGTGTGTGCAGGGGTCTGGACACAGAGAATGGCCGACACCCTGTTTCCTGGCAACTGATGGCCTGGGCCCTTCCCCCCCTGCGAGGTGAGAGCTAAAGGGTTGGAGAACAAAGGAATCCGGTGACCTCCTGGCCCAGGAAAGGGACAAAGCCCAGGGGAGGAGGGGCTGGAGGGGGTTTCAGTTTGGGGCTGGCTGGGACATGGAGTGAAGGGCAGACGTGGTTGTCTGGCTCACTGCCCCCCAAAATGGACCCAGCTGAGGGGTCCCGTTCTCTGCACCTACAAGCTCTGTTTTAGACCATGTTCCTGTCGTCTAATAAACTCTGTTTTACTGGCTGGCTGAGAGTCACGTCTGACTGCGGAGCTGGGGGGCAGGACCCTCTGGCTTCCCCAGGAGCCCCGTCTGGGCGGACTCGCTGGGGGAAGCGCACGGAGGGGCAGAGGAGGCTGAATGCTTCGAGGTCAGACCCAGGAAGGTGGAGCCGGGTGAGCTGTGTGTCCTGCAGACAGGCTGCTCCCAGAAAGGAGACTGCCCCAGAGTCCTGCCTGGCTTCATGGGGAGCAGTTCCAGAGCATTGCCCAGGGACTCCGTGACATGGGGAGCTAAACCCTTTGCCATGGTTCCCCCCCTTCACTGGGCCCCACCCCATCCCCATCACAGTCACGGCTCCCTGCCCCCCGCCTCACCCCAGCACTCAGCCCCCCATCTCCCCTGGATTCTGAGCTGCACCTCAGCACACAGGGACCCAGGCTCTGCTGGGGAGTGGGGAGAGCCAGCCCCCCCCATGGCGAGGTCCTGGTGGCCCCCGGGCCCTGGCTCGCAGTCACTGGGCGCATCTCACCTGCAGGCCCCGCGGTGCCGGCCTGTTGTGCAAGGGTTGCCATGGCACCACCATCTCCTCCCGCCCGGATGACCGGGCAGCAGAGCCTGCGGGGCAGGGGGCTGGTGGGCACCAGGGGGTGGGCACCAGGGGGTGGGCAGGGCACTGGCCAGGAGCGTTGGGGTCAGGGAGGGAAGGGGGGCTGGGCTGACCCCACATGGCGGGGAGGTAATAAGGACACACTGTGGGTCCAGCCCCTCTTGCTGACCCTGGGCTGCGGCCAGGCCCCCACCAGCCGGCTCCTCAGAGCCCCGTACGGCCAGGGCTTGCTGGGGGGACACTGCGGGGGGCAGAGAAATGGGGCTGCAGAGCCATAGCCCAGGCTCACGCTGACCCCTGTTGGCTGTCTGGAGCAGGGACCGCTGTGGGCGGGAGGGCTGGTTCTGGGCTGCCAGCCCGTCCCCAGCCCAGGACGGGGGGACGCGGGACACCCCAGAGCCAGGCAGGCCTCTGTGCTCAGCCTTCGGCTTCATTTCAGCCACATGCTCCCGGGAACAAGTTCCACCTCCTACCCCTGCCCCGGCAGCTCTGCCAGCCAGCGGGTGCCTTGCTCCTTTTCTATGCTGACCGGCCGCAGGTCCGGCTGGGCCCAGCTCCCCCGGCGGCCAGGGCCCCAGCCCCACCAGGCCAGGCCAGGGCTCCCGGGAATCCGGGCTGCCCAGCACCGCAACAGGCAGGGATGATTGCCAGCATTGCTACCAGGCCTGCCAGGATGGGGCCCCAGCAGGCCGGGCACTGCCCAGCACGGGCCCCCTGTCTGGGGAAGCTCTCCGGGGGGTCACCAGTGATCTGGAGCCACGCTGACTGGAGCCCCCCCCCAGCCCACCAGGGTACCTTAGAGGAGCCTGAAACAGACCCCCTGCCAAGGGGGGGGCAGCTATGCCACAAGCCAGGACCTACTTGAGACTCCTCGGCAGTCCACCAGCGAAGCGTGCTGAAGGGGAAGGCCCCGGCTCCCGGCTCAGCGTGTGCAGGCACCGACAGCTGGAAGCAGGGTCTGAGTGGCGTTTCGTGAGGCCCCCGGAACAGCAGCCCAGACCAAAGGGGTCGGGGGGGCTCCCACCTGGTGACATGATGCTGCTTAACAAGTCCTAGTTGCTCATTGACCCTCCCGCCCTCTGTTTAAAGGCTGAGCTGGTCAGACTCCATTGAGAGGTTCGGGGGCTGAGCTGGAGAGCTGCAGAGGGGACAGCGTTGCATTGAAAGATGAACGCAGGGTCTGTGCTAGCTGCAGGGTCCCCACTCCCCAGTGAAATGGCTACGGCCTGGGCTCCGTGGTGAAACCGCAGGGCTGCAGGCAGTGAGAGCGTGTGGCATTGCTCATCCCCCGGTTAGGGGTGGGAGGTGACCTGCTGTGACGCACCCCTGAATTCTGGGCCTTGGCTGACTTTGCACCACCAACTGTGAGTGGGGGGCAGCGGCTTGCCACGTTAAAGGGACTTTCGTCTGCTGGACTGTCACACTGCCAGGTGGGAAACTGAGGCAGAGGACACAGCCCAAGGCACTCAGTGTGGGGGCGGATGTTACTTCTGGCCACGTGCTTTTGAGCTGTTGCAGTTTGCCAAATTGATGCTGGGTTTGTTCCCTTTTAATAAAACTTCTCTGGTTCTCCACAGGCTCAGTGCATGCGAGAGAGGGTGGGGTCTCCCCAAGCTGCCTGGGGACGGTGGAACCCACCGTACGGGGCAGGGGCTCGAGCTTTTGCTGGTGTGTGTTGCTAAGAGGAACCCCTGCACACTGAACCTGGCTTTTGCGGCTGCTGGCACCAGCTAGCAGAAGAGTAAAAACATGGCACCCGGCCCATCCCCACGGACACAAGACCCAGGGATCGGGAAGAGCTAGATACAACCAGGGGAGCTGCTCTCTGCTTTCCATTCCCTGGGGGCTGGGGGACACAGAGCAGTTTATGTGCACAGGGATAACCCTCCTTCCTACGTTTCATCCAGAGCTCAGGGAAATGCTCTGCAGTCCTCGCCCGCAAGTCTCCAGGGAGAGCTGCCTTATTTCTTCCTCTGTGGTGGGACCCTTTCCCACCCTGCTCCGTTTGCTGACACCAGTGCAGCTGGGTTGCGTGTGTGACCCAGGGGTAAGGGCGGCTGCAGAGCAGTGATGGGCAGCTGGCCTGGGGAAAAGTGCTCCTGGGAATGCGGGAGGGGAGCGGTGGTTTCTTTCCCTTTCTGGTGGGAGTGTAAATCCAAGGCCACACCTGGCTGTTTTATCAGCAGCTGCTGCTATTGCAGCCTGCAGAGAGGGCTTAGGAGGACCCTGCTCCATTCCCCAGGCCAGTGCTGCAGCAGATCAGGACCAAAGGGCTTGAGTCTGGAGAAGGAAAGAGCAGAGGGGGAAGGGCCCAGGAGTCCAGGAGGACAAGGGAAGGGAGATGAACCAGGACATAATGGGGCTTCTCATGCAGAAACCCAAATGCTGCAGGTCCAGAAACCCCAGACTGCCCCCATTTTGAGGTCCTTGGAGGACTTCATGGTAACAGCTCCCATCCCAGCTCAGGGAAAGCACACCTGGACTCCCAGGTCCACCAAGGGCCACAAGTAGGGCTGGATTGCCCCTGGCTTTTACCTCGGAGTCTGACAATCCTGCATCCACCCTGCAGTTCTCCTGGGGAGCGAGCAGAGGAACAGGGCAGTTTCGCTCCGAGCAAAGGCCCAGGAGCAGGACGAGGGGCAGGTGAAAGCACAGCCAGGACTGCACATGCAACCGGGGAACCCCCCCAAATACCCATCACCTCGCTGTTCACATGCAGCTGGTTCCTGGCTTTGCACGTACTATCCAACAAATGTACAGGCTCGGGAACGGGCATGTCTACACCAGCTAGGGTGACCAGATGTCCCAATTTTATAGGGACAGTCCCGATTTTTGGATCTTTTTCTTATATAGACTCCTAATACCCCCCCAACCCGATTTTTTACGCTTGCTGTCTGGTCACCCTAACACCAGCCAGGGCCTCCATCTTCGAAAATTCAGTCCTCTGCACCAGTCAGGAGCTGGGCCCCCTTCTGCTAGGTGGCCAGGCAAGAGAATGGCAGATGAAATTCAGTGCTGACAAAGGCAAGGTACTGTGCAGGGGTGGGACTGCTGCCTTCCTCAGCCACAGCACAGAGGTAACAGAGCCACCCGGGACCATGGCTCGAGAGTTCCAACCCCGCTGCTCCCAGGGAAGCCAAGGGGGAGCACCTCCCCCAACCCCTTTTAGAGGTGGGCTGTGATGGCAGAGGCAGAGCTGGCGCCCAGTGCAGGAAGCTGAACAGATGGAGGAAGGCATACAGACAAGCCCCGTATGGCACAGCCCCTCCCAGCTCCTGCCCTGGGGAGCAGCGTCCTAACTGTCAGGAAGGGGGAATACTGGAAGCCCTAGCGTCCTTCCCTGGCTCCTGCACCTGGCCACTCCTGGTTTCCTGGCAGGACAGTGACATTGTAACACATCACTGTGAACATTTCCCTTGCAGAGTAATTCCTGGACAGTACATCCTGGACACCTGGGCCTGCCCGGCCAGGCACCTCGGGCCTTCATGGTCGCTGCAAGAGAGAGAAAAGTCAATGAGCTGTTGGTGAGGCCAGGACAAGATGCTGCGTTTCTTTGGGTGCATGGTGTTGGACTGGCTGACGCTGCTACACGGTGCCAAGGGGAGCAGGGCTCGTAATGCTGAGTGTTAGAGAATCAAGCCCCGTGCAGCAGCCAATCACACCCGAGGCTCTGCCCCGTTCACCTGACAATGTGTTAGTCATTACCACCAACAGCAGCAGCCTGGCCAAGGGCAAGGAAGGGCCCAAAGAGGAGCCGGACGCAGCTGGCTGGGTTCTGAAGCACCATTTTACTGAAGGACGGCAGGGCCAGATCGCCTGCTCGTATTTCATAACAAAAAGTTCACTTCATTTAAGAAAAAGAGACAGTTTGGTTCTGGCCAGTTGCCTCATAAGAGTGGGACAACACGACCACTGCCCTTCACTGAACAGCCTTCCGAAGATACACAGCGAGCCCAGCAAACCACTGACCGCGCGGCAGAAACACTCCACACACACACCAAAGGGTAGAAAGTTCACTCCCGGCACAAGGGGGCCAGTTGTTTCAGATTCACAACATAAGCAGCACTTGGGGTCCCTCCTGCAGACGATCCCGCTCCCAAGCTGACAGCAGGGGCGGCAGGCCCGGGACAAAACCCGCTGCCAGGAAAAGGCCCGCTCGCTCTGGGGACTAGCACTCTGCTGGTACAGGGCTGTTGAATTCACACCCAAAGAGAAGATCCATGGCAAAGCTGGTGGCTCCAGTCCAAGCAGAAGCAGGCTAGTCACGCTGCAGCAACGGAAGGAGACCAGTTCTCTCCCAAGGCTGCTGGGCAATGAAGAACAGTTCCCAGCTCACAGGCAGCAGTCTCCCCGTGTCCCGCTATCCCACGGCTCTGTGAATAGCGCCCATCGGAAATGCTGCAGCAGGACACTACAGGCAGAGGGGATGCCAGCATCTCTCCAGACACGACACTAACTGCACCGCTTGGTAAACTCCAGGTGCCAACTGGCATCCCTTGCGAGCTGTGGCAGGAGGCGTATTTCCCAGTGCTCTGTATTCCCGTCTGTGCCCCTGGGGTCGGGAGAGGTGGTTCGGAGCAAGGCTGTGGCTATACGGCACCTTCTCTGTCACTGCAGCACTGCGCACCCGGCTTTGCCCCGGGAAGGCCCCAGACGCCCTCCGTGGAGACCTGTGCGCTGCTACAGGAACTGAACGGGATCATTAAGACACCACAAGAGGGATAGGCTTGGGGATAATAAGGCCTTTGAGGGACTCCTCAGGGCAAGGGCTAATTACCGCCTTCGGGGAACTTCCTTTGGATGCTCATGCTCGGACGAGATGCGCTCCTCTTTCTCATGCTGTCGATCGGAAGGATCGGCACCGCCCGGGCAGGGCTCTGGGCCACGAGCGCTGCAGAGACAAGAGTCACATCAGCCCCCCTGCCGCTGCAAAGCGAGGGAGGACGGAACCCAAACCTGAGCAATGCCCCCAGCCGCCCCTCCACGGCACAGCCCAGAATCCACAAGGCCCGATCCACTCAAGGGAAAACTGTCTGGAAAGGGCTACGCATCTGAGAGCTCTCTGGTGCTCCACAGCCTTCGCTGAGCTCAATCCCCCAGAAGCACACGCCATGTACAGAAGCCAAACAGGCCTGCCAGCCACACACAGCCAGCTTCTTGGGTTTCCCTTAATCCCAGCTCCTCCCCCTCGGCAGCACCGGGCACTGCCCCAGCAGAGCTCAGGGCCAGGGCGCCGGCTTTGTAAGCTGCTGTTACACACACAGACCCAGAGGTTGGTGCTTTGCCCTCCCAGCAAGGCTGAGCACCTCCTAGGGGCACAGCACTCAGCCCCTTCTCCAAGCCGGCCCGGTGCACCGTGCTCCTCTCCCTCGCCAGCAGTCACGGCCCCTCGGACCCGTCCAGCACAGCTCAGCAAGAGACACGGCGGCACCCAAAGGGAAGAGGAACAGTGGGGTAGGGGACAATCTGCCATAGGGCATAGTCTCTAGCTGCTGGAAGGCATCTCCCCCAGACCACAGGGGTCGCAGACATCAGCATCACTTTAAATCCTGCACAATGAACACACTCACTTCTCCAGGAAATAAGGCTTGTGCTGGTGAATGGAGAGTCCCCCCCCAGTGCTACAGAGAGGGGAGAAGAAAACATTTTCCTCTTTCCCCAGACATGGACTGTGTGCATGGCCCTGCACTCGGCATCCAGGCAGCGGCTGGCCCGGTTCGTGAGGGTTTTCATACACCCACTGGGGAGCGAAAACACTAAAGCAGGAGCCTGTTATGGGAAACCACACTTGGCACAGGACTCCCACTGACTAGATTTCAAACTTGCAGCTCCCCGGGCCGGCACAGCTGCTGGATCAGACCCTCACACCCTGAAGCGAAGGGCCTACAATGCTGCTTACTTCTATGCTCAGATAAGTATGCAAAGGGTCTCCCCAAGTGCCCGTTCCCACCCTCAGGCTGGGCCGGGGAGACGCCTCTCGAGCACTGTTTGTGACTGAAGGTGCAGTCTCCGCCACCCAGGAGGAAGTGCTGGAGAACGCTCGGGAGGAAGAGCCCCGCCACAGCACTGCTTAGCTCTGTTTACATCAGGCAGCTAACACTGACCGGTACCTCCTGCCCATGCTGCTTTCCCCTCTGCCTTCTCTGGGGTGCACACATGCTCATTTCCCCGGGGCCACGATTTACTTCGCTCTGGGCACAGAACGGCACCCAGCAGCTGTGCCACAAAGCCAATGCTGTCACTGAGGTAAACCAGACCAACAGAAGAGGTGTTTGCCAACCATCCCCCTCGAGCCCACCAGGAAGAACCAGAAACCCAGCCAAACAAATGCATGTAACAGTCTGGATTTGTACCAAGGCGAGATCTCTCCAGGGAGAGCGAGGCACTGAGCGGGGTGTCAGGAGCCGAGCTGGTACATCCTGGAATGTAGGGCAAAGACAGATCAATCCAGCCTGAAGCGTCACCTTCATCAAGGGCCTGTTCTGAGAAGCGTTCAGACAACGGCCATTTACATGCACTCTGCTAGTGCTCAGCCACTAACCACCACTCCACGGACGCCTCCCCTCCAGCCACCAACAGGGTCAGGACACGGCACGCTACAGGGTGGGCTACACAATTGAAATAGTTACAAAATCATCCCTTCGTTTTGCACAGCAAAGTGCTCTAGAGATTACATACCAGGGTCACTCCTGCAGCCACCTCTGGGGTGGAGCACACAGCGGGTCTCTGCCAGCGACACCATACAACATGGTTTGCAGAGAGGGAGCAAAGGAGAAATTCCTCTCCTTGGAACTAGAGGCAGGAAGATGCAGCCTGGTCACAACACACCTTTGCCTTAAAATTTCTGCTCATTAACAGCAGATTTTCAACCAAACGTCTGAAAATCAGACCGCCGCCCCTCCTTCACTGACCTGCGCAGACACATGCTCAGGTAGCTGCTTTCCCTGCAAGAACTGATGGCCTCGCTAACACCTACCACAAAGAAGGAAGCGCAGGGGCCCCTGTCCTGGGTCACTTGTGACTGGTGCAGCCAACTCAGGTGGGTGAAACACGAACTCTGACTCCTGGCTGGCAGGTAAGTCAGAGAGGAAATGACCCCCGGAACGTGGTTACGGACAGCCCTCTGCAGCCCTCATGAGAACACTGGTAGCATTAATCCACACAGAACAAGCAGTGCTGAGCACACGGCTTTGCCGGTACCCAGGAACAGTACCGCCAGACTAGGCACTTGGAGGACCTATACAAAACAGACTGAAAACAACCTGTGCCGAGCTCTGCAGGGCAACGCATTCTGCATTTACTGGCTCGGTTCCAGATATGACCCTGTGGCCACCCCAGCTCCCTGGCTGCGTACACATTTCGGGTCTGCCCGAAATGCCAATCAATCAGTAAGAACGATCCTACAGGCCCTTACACCTCTGTGCCAACCCAGCCCCTATGGGCAGGAAAGGATTATCCCCAGGCCTAAGGGCACACAACAAAGCTGTAAAAGGCCATGCCTCCTCTCCTGGGCGGTGGTGGGAAGGAAGAGCCCATACCCTCAAGTCCAGCACTGTCTGGGCAGCACCCTCACAAGGGGGCTCCGTGCAGACAGGTCTCCAGGGGCTATCACAGTAACAACCCGTGGCATGGAGCTGCATTCTGTCTGCACCCCCCCTTGAAACAATGAAGGGAAGGGGTTGGCGAGTGGGGTATCTGCACTCCCCACCTGCACTGGACCAAGCCCCTGAACACTCCACTGCACTGCCATCTCTGCCCACGAAGACCCTCGCGAGCTCAGACACCTGCCCTGCTGGATTCTGGGCAGGAAGAACGTATTTCAGTGCCTATCGCTGACACACACAACCGACTAGTGGCACACGAACCAAGCGGAGAGCCACAGCGACCTCCAGCTCTCCCAGGAACCTGGGCGGACCCCCTTTTCCACACACTGTAGGAACTCTGAAGCGACGAGCGGGGAGGCCCAGGAGTGTGGAGGCAACAAGCCCCGTTTGACGTGCGCAGTCGCAGTGTGGGAGAGAAGCATGAGCTGCCTCAGGGACATGGCAAAGATTTCGGGAGCTGAGTGATGTGGGGAGGCAGGCAGCAGAGTGCTGCAGGGGGTAACACACAGCTGCTCACCTATAGAGAGAGGACCTAGGCCTGGATTCAGCCCTGGGTATAAGCAGGTGCATTTCTCATTGGCTTCAATGGGAGCTGAACTCACCTCTGCAGGTTCCTAATCTGCATGGTGAGCGAATCTAAGGCTAAAACAGGAAATAACCCTTCAGTGCCTTTAGAGCAGAGAACAGGAGGCCTTGTGGCAACGTAGCGACCAACCCATTTATCTGAGCATCAGCTTCCGTGGGCTGCAGCTCACTGCAACGGAGGCACTCAGTGGACAGTGAGCTGTAGCTCACGAAAGCTTATGCTCAAATAAATGGGTTATCTCTAAGGTGCCACAAGTCCTCCTTTCCTTTTTGCGGATACAGACTAACACGGCTGCTCCTCTGAAACCTGTCTTTAGAGAGGAGAGAAAAGGAGGAATGAAGCACTGGGTAAGGCAGCGACCCAGAGCCCACTCAAGACTGGGAAGATTCACTGGAGGGCAGGTTATTTCTCAGCCTGCTTGAAAAATGGGGAAGGAGCTGAGCAGAGGGAAGGGAGGGAAATGGGAAAGACGAGCCAGGTCTGGTAAGTGATCAAACAGCCCCTGCTCACCCAGTGCCACTCCTGCAATGGGAACACTTTGCAAAATTGAAACACAAGGACTGTGAAAACAAAGAGTGAAAAGGAAACATTTCCATCCTATAGCCAACCCGGGGCAGCCACTGAAGGGCACGCACTACGGTGGAGTGAGCACCTGGCCAGCAATGGCATTAGCAGCTAGCAACTCACGACAGAGTGACTGCTGTGGGGCTGGGAGGGTGCTCCACAAATTCCCAGGTGCTGGCTTTCCAAGGAAGCAACAGCTATGAGCCGCCGTGCGAAGTGGAAGAGCAGATCAGCGGAGCCAGCCAGCGGTTTGAGCTGCTACGCCAGGTGGGACACTGCACTCGATGGCCTGGGGTGGCTGAATCCACAGTAACACGCAGCACATGGGAGCCCCCAAAGCCAACCCATCCCAACCTCCCGGAAGGTGCTCTAGGCATCAGCTGGCAGAAGGCTGGGGGAGCTGGAAAAGCCTGATTTCACTGGCACAAGGGAAAGGGAAATCAGGCCCCAGTGTCCAGTTGGTGCTGCAGGCAGAGGAGCATCTCTGACACCCCCTGCTGCGGCCTGTCACTACGGCTTAACATGCTGCTCCCTCACTGGATGCCCAGCTTGTCCCTGCAGGCAAGAAAGGTGCGACCTTCTGGCCTGCTTGTGTTAACAACCCAGGGCCTCCTGGAGGAGAGGAGACACATTCCCAGGAGCGAGAGGTGGGGACCTCCCACAAACAGCCTCAGCACTTTGGATCAACTCTCCTCCGGAGAAGGGGGGAGAATGTCCCTTTCAGTTTTTATGGTCTCTGGATCAAGACGCCCTGCTCGTCAAGTGCGAGATGACGAAGGCTGTCTCTCTGTGCAGGGCGATGGTCACACCCGCTCCAGCACTGACAGCTGGAATTTTACAATAGTTCACATGCAATTGGCAGTCCGCTTCCAACAGCAAAACGTAGAACCAACAGTAACCAGTGAAGGCTCTGCCCTCAGATCACACCCAGCAATGCAACAGCAAGTGCGATTAGCATATTCCCAGCCCGTACCTGCCAGACTCTCCCAGTGAGGAGGGAAGGAGGCACCTACCCCTTGTTTTCTCATGCTCCCCTGAACACAGAACTAAGCACGGAGACTCTATGCAGAGAAAGATTTTATACCCTGCAGCAGATCACCACCCTAAAATCCCAGAAGAGCTGGCAAATCTGAAATCCAGGATGAGAAATAAATATACAGTGGCTTAACCCCGCGCAAACCACTCCCCAGAAACTAATACTGTATTCTCTTGAAATGTTAAAAAAATTGCTGGAAACTCGTTTTATGAACCTGCTGCTGCTGCGCTCTGGTTCTCATCCATACCCATTCCACTGGAGCCAGCAGAATGTTAGCAAACACTCGATACATTCAGAATCACAGTGGGCGAGTTCTCGACCAAACCCGAAGGTCACTGCAATGTTCAGCAGCACGCAAGTGGTGACAGTCTGGCCAGGAAATAACAAGTATCCGTGGATTGGCAGCCCCAGATCTTGGGTCGACAACCAGCCACAAATTCATTTTTTAAGTTAACAAACAGGGCATAACAGCACCTTTCCCGTGGTGCTCTTTGGAAGCAAACCCGCAGGAAGCGTTTAGCGTTTCTGCTAATAGCGAAAGGTGGGCGGCACCCAGAAAGCCGTCAGACAGACTCAGCGCTAACAGCCCAATCAGCCCTCCCCTACTTTCCATTTTCTTTGAAGAGGTCATCTGAACAGGATAGACCTAAACTCATCTACGAGCTGGTAAGTCTCCATCCGGCATGGTGTTTCCAGAGACAAATGTGTGGCTATAATTCTGCCTGCTTCTGAGCTTCTCAAGAGAGCCCAGAACAGACGGGTAACAACACTGATGATGGGAAAGAAACCCTGGCACCTTTCGACAAAAAACTGACTGACGGGCAGGTAAAAAAAAAAGGTATGGAACCAAAATCCAGAGGGGCGGAGGAAATGTGTCTTCAGACAGTGCCAGGGCATTGTGTGTGTATAGATATATAGATATATAATAAAGTTATAAAATTTGATCAAAATAAAACCAATAAATGTACAGCTTGAAAAAGAACAAAATATCACAGTGCATGAACGTCATGAGAAAGTCACGCGCTCCCCACTGCACAGACGTACGCTCCACCACGTTCAGAAAAGCACAGCACAGAACGCTAGCACCTGGCTTCGCTCAGCTCACCACAGGGGCTGGGAGTCATTGTCCTGTATTTCTAAACATGGGTTTGTACTCGTGCAGTCCAACTCTGCAGAATGTCACCAGGCAGCCAGCAACAGCCGTGGAGCAAGCTGCCCAAAGTCTGCAGGTACCGGGTGTGATACTGTTGCCGGACACTAGAGAATGGAAGTGGCTCTTACATATTTCCACAGCCTGGCAGCTGGTTCACACTTATGTATTTAAGAGAAAAGTGACAAAAGGAAGGAAGGAACTCAGGGGACATTGTGAGAGGGGGACAATGGCTGAATTTTGATCACAGGGGACAGGTTAACCCTAAGGATCTTCTGTGCTCTCCGCCTCACTTCATCGTCTGATGACGAGCTGTCCACCTTAATGGCCCGGGATCTCAGCAGGTTCAAAGTGCTCTGACCTAGTTCAGGTTTATTCATGGCATTTTTCTTCTTCTTCTGTGGTGCTTCTTTCGCCTCCTCGGCTCTTTTCCTTTTCTGCCCAACAGGTTCCTGACTACTGCTGTCTTTCCATTCAGTTCTCCCCACTGGAACTTCCTTGGCTTTATTTTTAAAGGCCTTGGACTGTGACCCCCCACTGCAACACTGAGATGAGCTACCTGTAATCCTGCCATTCAGGATTCCAGATGCTTTGCAAGCATTACTCTCCTTTAGCACCCCACCTTTAGTTCCCTTCAGAAGTGTTACAGCTAGAGCGGGAGATTCTGGCGCTTTCTTAACTACGTGTTTATAGCCTTTGGGGTCTAACTGCCCCGAGGGTAGCTTAGCGTTCTGCCTCGAGGCACCCGATGCCTTGAGGAGCTTCAGGTCCGAGGGGGAGATTCCAAGATGCCCTGGTTTGAATTTGGACTCCAAACAGGATGCTGTGGCTTTCAGTGGGACCAAGGCTTCTAGAACGACAGAGAGTCTCATGGCTGGATACACGTCAGGGTACATATTAGCTGGGAAGCCCATTGCTGAGGCCTTCGATGTGCCTGACCGTGTCTCTTTCAATGAGTTCAGCAGCAGGTTTGTGGAACTACCTTTTGAGACAGGCTTGGTGCGGACGTCAGGAGAGCGGACTGAAACCCCCGCAAGTGTCCCAGGAATCTCTGCTGTCGCTGCAGGGCTTCTAACCGGAGCTTTACAGTCAGAGACAGCAGCGCCGGTGCTTGAACTGTCTTGTGTGCTCTCGAGTGTCTGGCTGGGAGTAGCCGCCGTGCAGGAGCTGTACCCATACACATCCTTGCTCCTTAAGATTGTGGGCTGGTGGCCTTCCTCCTTGAGGCCTTGGAGAAAGGCCACCAGCTGGGTCTCGGTGTCTGAAAGGTCCTTGGACATGGGGTTGAAGACTCGGAGGGCTTCCTCCAGGGCTTTCTGTCCTGCAGAAGAGATTCTTGACCAAGAGTGGACAGCTTTTTCTTCCACATTGTTCACCTCAATATTCATGGCATTAGGGTAGTAGGAGCTTCCAATAGGTCCAAATTCCTTGAAAACCAACGCTGGACACCTCAAAGAGAAAGAGAAGACAGTTAGCGCAACCCAAACACCAATCTCCATGCCTCTAAGGGAAGGCTACGGAGAACCCTCCAGATGCCAGTGACCATCTAGTCTGACCCCCTGCGTAACCCAGGCCAGAGAACCTCACCAAGGGATTCACGCGTCCAGACTAATCATTTGGGATTAACTGCCACATCTCTTTTAGAAAACCAGCCATGCTTGGTGTGACGATTTCAAGTGACGGAGAACCCACCACACTTGCTAGGGCAGCTGTTCCAATGATTAAACACGTGCACCTTATCTTCAGTCTCACACTTCAACCTGCAGCCACTGGCTCACTCTGCTCTTTGTCAGCTACATCAAAGGGCTCTCTGCTACAGAAATCTTCTCCCTGCCTCGGCGCTTACAGACCAGGATCAAGCCATCTCAGCATCTTCTTCAGTAAGCTAAAGAGACTGAGCTACTTAAGTCTCTCACTATAAGCCATGTTTCTTCCAACCCTCTGACCATTCTCTGCTCCAGTTTTTCAACAACCTTTCTGAAGTACGGACACCAGAATTGGATCCTATTCCAGTAGTGCTCTCACTAGTGCCACAGACAAAGGCAGTGTGACCTCCCTCCCTCCTCCTACTTCCTACTATTCCCCTGTTTATACAGTCGTCTGCAATTTGCTGTCACACAAACCGTTGTTCATCCAAGGATGCTCACTCCGCAAAGACGATACAAAAGTGCTTTTCACTGAGGCAAGAAACCACAACAGAAACCCAGCTATGAGGTAGGAAATCTAACCCACTGGAGGCTTGCGCACATGGGGCTGACGGCCAGCCCTGATATTACCTTTAGCAGCACTCAGCTACCTACCCTGGGGGAACGGAGATAACAGCTGAGTACAGGACACACCCCCAGAAAGGAGCCATCATGGCAGAACACTGTGCTGGAACTGGAAGGTAACTAAAGTCATGTGACACTAGGCCAGCAGGCTGAAGCCAACACGGACGCAACAGGCTGATTCTATGCTGGAAATGGCAATTAAAGGCTGACAAATGCGGTAAAAAGTGAAGAGTTGGTAAAACCTGTAGCTGCTGAGACACCTCTCGAACCAGTAAGAAAGTGGAATTCAGTGTTCTCAAACATTCCCTTCAAAGACTACCACCTCAGATAGATTCCACAGGTATTCTCACATCCGCAACCCCCTTCCAGAATCATTATTTTTATCACCAGAGCACCTAGGAGCCCTAGTCATGGACCACAGAGATGGGCCCTGCCCCAAAAAGCTTCTAATCCAACTATAAAATGAGACCCAGCCGAAGGATCTAGACAGACAAGGAGCACAAGGGAACAGTGAGACAATATGGGTCAGCATGATCAGCAGTGGTCTCCGCAAATCAACAGCCAAACCGCAGTCCATTTGTATGTAGGTCTCGTGGCCAAGGAGAGGTTAAGGAGGGGTTTGAAGGTGGATAATGAAATAGCTCGGGGAGGGGAGAGGGGGTGTTACAGGGAGCTCCTCCCAAGCATGAGGGGCAGCGCAGAGAAAGCATGTGTAGGCAATGGAGGCTGACCTCACGGGCCAATGGGAGATGGAGGTCGACATCCTGATAGTAAATGAAAGAAGATAGGGAGGGAGGAGATAGGCCATGAAGGCAAGTAGCTTGTGTTTGGTAGGACAGAGAATGGGGAGCCAGTGGAGGGATGCAAAATCACTAACATGTTTTGAAAAAGGTGCAGAATATTCAATCGTCATCTGGGAATTGGAACCTGCACCAAGAACAAAGATGGCCAGCACACCTTACTGTGGATTTTTGAAATGCCATTTTAATACAGAAACAGACCAGGAGGTGTTCTTACTTTAATATATATTTATGTTAATAAAAAGTAAAGTTTAAGAAGTGACTGACTTATACAATGTAAATGATATCTCGTCTAATCAACAGCACAGTCTCTTGCTGAACCCCAAGTTTGTTCACCCACATGCCAGATGATGCCCTCAATAAATCAAGTGATGCCACGTGCATCCGCTGGGATGGCGAATCTATGATTCTATAGAGAAATGACCCAAAAGATCCATACTCCTCGAGTAACCAGAATAGCTCTTGGCCATCAACATAAGGCCTCCAAACACAAAGAGGCAATTTAAAGTATTAACAAGACAAACCCTGGAGACAGGTTCAGACACCTTCAAAACGTGTGACGATTCCAGAACAAAGAGGATTCTGCAGAGTGAATAACCTGGCATTCTGCAAGAGTGATCAGTGGAAAGGAGTTAACTCCTCAAAACTCCAATGATATTTGGAAGAGGCAAGCAGAGATTTCTTAGAAAGGCTGTGTCATGTGGCTGAAGGCCATAAAGGGGGTATATTTAAAGACACAATCTGCACAGAAAGAAACCAACTGAAAACCTCCCTATGGCAAGGCCATTCTTTGCCCTTGGCTTCTCCTGCCATTTCATGCTCATTAAAAGCTCAGCTCTGCATACTTTCCCTCCTAGGGTGAAGTGCACATTCCTAATCAGCACATCCTACACAGACACCAACTAGCAGCCATCTCCCAGGGCTTGGGGGTGAAAGGAATTGTCTGCATGACTCTACCTTCTCAAACTGAGCCATTTGCATCACTTTTTGAGTAGCCAGGAGCCAGGTTAGAGAGATGGGGTTTAGGCATGGCAGCCCCATTCCACCCAGCCTACCCATCGACTACCTAGTGGCTGAGAATCCACTGCAACATAACAGCGCTTCCTGGGCTCAGTATCCCAGCCACTGAAGCACATTCCCATCCAGAACCCAAACTGTGCTCAAGAAGCTAATCAGTCCCTAAAACATCATCAGCACCCAAGCCACTGGGAAGGACAAATGAAAAACAGCAGCCAAGTGAGCTCCGGCAGATCCCGGCAACACTCACTCTGCAGTGAAGCGTTCACAGCTAAGGCAGGCTCCATGCGGGGGAGACTGGCTGTTACAAAGCACAGTCTGAACCCAGAGAGAAGAGACTGTGCAGCCAGTGGGACAGATTCACTTTCTCCTCAGTGTCTAGAGTACAATGAAATGTGAGAAAAATCTCTCCACCAATTATCCAGCAGCAGAAGAGACGTCTGTTCAAAGAGCAATGCGGAAAAACTGCCCGACCTGGGGAGAGAGGAGCCAGAGGATGGGGATGGCCTGGCACTATGTACCAACCCATTAATGAACATAATGACAAGCGGGCAGAGGGGATTAGCTCTCCAGTGGGGCGCACACCCCACAGCGGGCAGGTCACACCTGCCCAAAACAGATTCTGGAAGGCTCTGACTCTCCTACCCTTTGGCAATACTTGGAGAGTTTGTTGTGCCAATAAAGTCTCATTGACCTGAGGGCGTACGCAGCACAGGGCGGGTCACAGATGCACTGAACCGCTATGTGTTTCTTTCATGGCCTTGTTGCTACTTTTTATGACTACTTGAAATTATTCGCATTATTAAGAGGATCAACAGCATGTGACAGTATCCCCAGAGGAAAAGCCACCCAGAGCTGCCCGAACCCAGAACCGCTCCTGACCCCTGGTGACACTCCTGCCCCCCCCACTCAGCACTACGTGACTCAGGAACGATGCTTGTACCAGGCTGTGTTTGGTGCAGACAACATGTGTCACAGGAGGTTTTAAAGCTGGCCCATCTGCCCAAGAGAAAGGTCGTCACTCCTAGCTCCCTGTTCCCCACAAATGACCTCCCCGGCTACTGCATCCTTCCCACCCCTACCCAACGCCCCGTCTCACCACAGGCCAACACAGCCAACTCTCTGGTTCTTGTAATGCACGAGTATGGGTCACGAACAACATGGGGGGCAAGTACTGACTGCATCAGTGAGCCTGGGGGACAGGGTGGATGGGGAGCCCTCTGAGGGAAGGGGGCCCACCGCTGTGGAGGAGGGGCCTGAGCGTCTCTCGGGAATATAAGGCAGAAGACAGATGCTGAGGAGAACAGGTCACTCTGGGAGACAGGGTGAGGATGGAGGCCCCCAGGACAGGGCAAATAGGAGACGATGGGGCAGGACTGAGCAGTGGGCCAGGCCGTGGGGCAGGAGGAGCTGGGGGGCTGGGCAGCGGGACAGGCTGGTGGGGCAGGAGGACCGGGGGGGGCAGGGCCAAGAGAGGAGCAGGCTGGGGCTGGCAGAAGAGCTGGGGGCAGGGCCGAGGACCAGGGCCATGGGGCAGGGGGGCCGGGCAGTGGGGCAGACGGAAGGGTCGGGGGCAGAGGGCCGGGCAGAGTGGGGACCGGGTGGGGCAGCGGGGTGGGATATGGGGCAGGGGGGCGGGGCAGAGTGAGGGGGAAATGGGGCAGGGCAATGGGGCAGAGCTGGGGGAGGGGCAGGGGGCGGGGCAATGGGGCAGAGCTGGGGGCGGGGCAATGGGGCAGAGCTGGGGGCGGGGCAGGGGGCGGGGCAATGGGGCAGAGCTGGGGGCGGGGCAATGGGGCAGAGCTGGGGGCGGGGCAGGGGGCGGGGCAATGGGGCAGAGCTGGGGGCGGGGCAATGGGGCAGAGCTGGGGCGGCTCGGGACGGGGCGGGGGGGCGGGGCGGGCTGGTCCCGGCGGGCGGCAGCGCGGAGCCCGGCAGCGCCCCCGCCCGGCCCCGGCCCAACCTACCGGCCGCCGCGGAGCCCGAACCCGCCGCTGCGCCGCCGCCGCTCCAACATGGCTGCCGCCGCGCGCCGGAAGTGCCGCCCGCTTCCGCTTCCGGCCCCCGGCCCGGCCCGCGCCTCGCCCCCCCGAGCCCCTGACTCCTCCCACTGACCCCCAGACCCCGCCCCCAGCCCCCCCATGAACCCCCCGGCCCCCAGTCCCCTCCCACTGACCCCCCCAGACCTCGCCCCCAGACCCCCCATGAACCCCCCCAGACCTCACCCCCAGACCCCCCATGAACCCCTCGGCCCCCAGTCCCCTCCCACTGACCCCCCCAGACCTCGCCCCCAGCCCCCCCCCATGAACCCCCCCCCCCCCTGCCCCCGCCCCCAGTCCCCTCCCACTGACCCCCCCAGACC